TCAGCGGGGGAAAACCGCAAATTGTATTCTTAAGTTCTTCAGAGCACAAGGGGGCTTCTTTGCCCCCGCAGCTCTAAAATTATACAAGGCCAAAACTTTGGCACAACTCCTGTATGGTTCCTTTTTGGGTCCGCCTTCCTCTGCTTTCTCCGCCCTTGAGAGAGTTCAATCCAGACTTCTTGGAGCTCTCCTCCAAGTCCCCAGATGTGTCTCAAACGCATGGGTGAGATTGGAAACAAGGATGATGAGAGTGGAGGCTAGCATCTGCCTAACATCAATTTACAAATGGCTGACATTGAACCCGCTCCCCCGAGGGATAGCCCCATTGATCCTCTGTGACCAATTCCAGTCGGGCTGGCAGACTGCAGTCCTGAACACCCTCCGGAAATTGGGTTTTGCCCCTCAAGCCCTTCTAAGTCTGGGTTTGGACCAGGCAAAAGCTACGGTTAGGCAAAGAATATTAGACACCGAGAGACAGCAGGACTGTGCAAGGTGCCCCAACTATAGAATTGAAGAAATTGAGAGATATATAGCTGCACCGGCAGCATATCTCTTCTTTCTCATATCTAGGGATGCAAGAAGGGCCTTTACACTCGCCAGAAGCTCGGCTCTTCCCTCGCCGGTCCTGGATGGAGCCTTCAGAAGGGTCCCGTATGCTCAGAGACTTTGCACCTGTCCATTGGGAGAGATAGGAAGCCCAGAACACTTGTTCTTTAGATGTCCCTTTTATAAAGAGGCACGTAGTAAAATCATGGATCTCCTACTGGTGAGGCTCGCCGACCTCCTGCAAAAGCAAAAATTTGACCTTTTGCTGTTGGGCAAAGATCAGAAGATGACCTGGATGGTCGCCAGATTCTGTCTACAGATCTGTAGGGGCAGACCATTGCCCAACCCAAAATAGTCTGGCATGAAAAGCCCCAAACACGGTTCCATGGGTGATTCCATGGGTGATTCTGAGACAGTTTATTGTTGCACATTGTTTCTAAATTTATTGTTTTATGTTGTTTTAATTGTCTGTTTTAACCATATTTGCACAGCAGTTTCTAACGTTGTGAGTGTCCTCTATCTGCGAGTCTTTTAGCTCTTATGCTCTTACAGCTGCTTTAACTGCATGTCTTTGTTGGTTTTTAGCTCTTATCTGTTTTAATTATTAGTTTTTTTATCTATCCATTATCTGTGTTTAATCTTGTATTTTATTTGGATGTTTTATGCCTGTTTCCTTGTCCTCATTGCCCTCACAATTATCGGTCAAAAATCCCAACTGCTATTTTATCTATATGCTTTTCTTAATCCTGGTCTGTGACCGTAATAAAGTTCATTCATGCAGCACATAGAAATTTTAAACAAGAATTTGGGACGGGAGTGTTTGACACTGTAAAGGATCAAATTAAGTGACACAGGTGCACACACAGGCACAGCAGAGAGCTGACTCTCAACGCCCTGTGTCCAGGGCAGCTGTCTACCAGCTCCATCTGACATGCAAACTGAGACTCTTCCTGCCCGCATACTGTCTCACCAGAGTGGTATATGCTCTGGTTATCTCCCGCTTGGACTACTGCAATGCACTCTATATGGGGGTACCTTTGAAGGTGGCTTGGAAACCACAACTAATCCAGAATGTGGCAGCTAGACGGGTGACTGGGAGTGGCCGCCGAGACCATATAAGACCTACATTGGCTCCCAGTGTGTTTCCGAGCACAATTCAAAGTGTTGGTACTGACCTTTAAAGCCTTGAATGGCCTACGCCTGAAGGAACATCTCCAACCCCATCGCTTAGCCCAGACACTGAGGTTCCCCATTGAGGGTCTTTTGCTGTTCGCTCACTGAGAGAAGTGAAATTACAGGGAACCAGGCAGAGGGTCTTCTTAGTGGTAGCACCCTCCCTTTGGAATGCCCTCCCTTCAGATGTCAAGGAGATAAAGAACTACACCATTTTTAGAAGACGTCTGAAGGCTGCCCTGTATATGTCATGAACACACCAGCTCAAAGTGTAATCTCGCAGTCGGCTGCCGAATGCAGTCAGGAACAGGGAGGCTGGGCTTTCACGCCGGCACAGGAGAGCCCACAGCTGCCAGGGTTGATTCCCCCTAACCTTGGACAGCCGGCTGATAAGGGAGGAATGGAGAACACAGCCAAAGCTCCCCGGAAGCCCAAACAGGTGCGGAAAACCACAGAGACAGCTTTTCAGAACAGGAAGGGGCTGCAGCTGACCAAATAAGTCTGATCCGTAAGCATATAGGAAGGCTGCTAGACAGGAAGCAAAATAAGAAACGTAAAGGTTGATGGTTCAATCTCTTCTGCTGACACAGGAAGAACTTCTCAGAAGGGTCAACCGAGTGATGGGGGTCGGAGGCTTGCTAGAGCTGTCCAAGATTATTGCTTGTTTTTCGCAATAAATCCTTCTTTTTAATTACTTACGCTTAATGTGTTATCAAGCCGGGAACCTGGACTCCTAACAGTATAGGGAAGTTTTAAATGTTTGATATTTTATTATGTTTTTATATTTTGCTGGAAACCATCCTGATGGGGGAGGTATAATAATAATTGTTGTTGTTGTTGTTTCAGAATACAGCCAAAATCAACACACGTTTGGATTAAGGTGCAGGAAAGACCCAAAGCACTGGTTGCAAACCAGCTGCCCTTTAGCTTAGTCTATGCGTTTACTTGGGTGGAAAAGTGCACTGCAAATTTCAGAGAAAATATTTTCGAAGGATGGCCATGTTTTCAGTTTGCATATCATTTCCAAAAGTGTGATAGGTTCGTCTTTAAACACACACTGAATTGAAATTCTCCCCTCACTCCCCACTTCCAAGCATATCTTAATAAGGACTAGAAACTTATTTTACAATAAATGGGAGCAGAGATGCCCAGGATGCTGATTCTGCACCCAGTACCCTTGGGGTTTGTTTTCTGCACTGGCAGGTATACACACAGAGTCACATTCCATCCTGGTCCTTGCACACAGCCCTGATGGTGCATGTGCAGGGTTAAGGTTGTCCTGGACACAAGCCAAGCCAATCTAGTCTCTGCCCTGGCAGGCCCATTCTGTTGATCTTGTGTCACCACCAGCTGCAGTTACTTACACACCATTGATTCCCAAAGTAATGGCTTCTGCACACAGCTCGCTGGTTTGTGCTGCCCATCAGTCCTGACAATGTACAGTGTGTGCTTCTGGAACAATCCAAACAGGAAAGAGACACCATTTATGCCTGGTTGGAAATGCAATCGGACGACAGCAGTGCACAAATAGGGAATATTTCTGCACCTGCTGAAGAAAGGCAGCTGAGACCACAGGCCTTTTCTTTTCTTTCTTTTCTGTGCCCCGTAAAAGTGTTTGTGTTCTCCTGTTTGCCTAAGGCAGCTTCTCCAGAAGGATATTGCAGGATGCACGTGACTGCTTCTCATAACTCCTGTTGATCAAGTCTCCAGCTAGATTAGATTACAACATAAAGTTTGGCAGTTCTAACATGAAGCATCAGCCAAGGGAGAGAATCACCTGCCTGATTCAGGAGAACTACCTGCAACAAATCTCCTTCATAAGAAGCAGCCTTGATTCATACAGCTCAATATTGTCTACATTGTCTGCCAGCAGCTCTGCCAGTTGCTTCTGAATCCCAGTCGGTGGAAACCACAGGAGGGGGTGGAGTGATGTTGTGCTCAGGTCCTTCTCATTGGGGCATCTGCACAGCCAAGATGAGTACAGAATGCTGGACTAGATTGGCCACTGGCTGATCAAACAGGGCCAGCCCAAGACATTTAGGCACCTGAGGCAGGCCCCCAAATGGCACCACCCTCCACACTGGTGAAGAAGGGGTGAGGGAAGATCTACATCAGATACAAGGGACGGGGAGAGAAAGATTGACATCAGCATCTGCTGCCCCTGTGGATCCTACCACCTGAGGCAGTTGCCTCACCTTGCCTCATGGGAGGGCCGGCCCCGAATAAAGATCTACATTGGGACCTACTGCCCTGTGGATCCTGTCAACTGAGACAGTAGCCTCACCTTGCCTCATGGACATCCCTGCCAGCAGGGTTCTTATGTTCTCCAGGGTTTCTGGCAAGGAACATCTTCAGCCCTACCAGAAGATGCTGAGGGCTGAACCTTGGACCTTCTGCATGCAAAGCAGATGCTCTAGCACTGAGCCCCAGTCCCGGGCAGTTCTGCAGCAGGAATCCCATCCATCTCAACTGTCCTGTTTTGACCACAGGCAGCTGATGTTTTCTGGTCCATGGCCATGGCCTTCTCAGGAGCAGTTGGGAAGTCCTTGTGCCGTTGAGTCTTTATTTGTTTTTTAAAGCATTTTCATCCCCATTCTAAGAGTGGCTTAGAAATGTCACAGCTGAGATGGAAAGTAAAAACCAAGACACCCCAAAAGTTTTTGAGCTCCCCCCCCCACACACACACACAAAAACGCCATTATTACTGAGCATTTTTTAAACCAAAGAAGCCAAAATTAACTTGCCTAAGATCCAGGACAAAGTGCCACCTTTCTTTGAAATCCAGGGGAAATCTGGATGTATGGCAGCCCTACTGGAAAGGGGGGAGGAAAACAAACCCCAGCACTTCAGTTTCAATATTGCTGGCTGGTGCCAATGACAGCTATATTCCAAAAAAGTTGGCAAAGGCTGTCCTACACCATTGAAATGATGGCAATACAGCAGAGCTCTGAAAATAGGCTAAGCAAAATTTACCTCTGTGCTAAATTCTCTTACATATGAATAATGGAAGTTCTGGAGTGAATAATCCTGATGGTTAATAAGGAAGTGTAAATAATCATTGCAACCACAAACTACCTCCTTGCTAGGGAGTTCCTCATTGTCTGCTTTCATTTCAAAACTCGGAAGAGATGCCTTTTTGGAATCCCGCAAGCAGTGTCTGAGCATAATAGCACTCTTCCTTCTGCATGCCAAGCAGGCATCCCGCCACTAAACCACTGGCCTATCTAGTACAGTATTTCCCACACTGACTGCCAGAGGCTGTCTAGAGTTTCAGATCTATCTGACGATGCCAGGGATTGAAGCTGGCACCTTCTGCATACAAAGCAGGTGATCTGCCACTGAGCTGTGGCCTTTTGCCAGACACTTCTGGTATATTCCAAGTCAAACCACTGCCCCCTCTAGCTCAGTATCGCCTGCACTGACTGACAGCAGCTCCCCAATATTTCCCCCAGAGCTGCATGGAGATACTGCAAACTGAACTGGGACCATCTACAGATACCCTACGACTCAGCTACTGTCTTTCCCAGCAACAAATAAGTGCACTGGGAGCCAGTATAGATCCTTTAGGACTGGTGTTTATATGGTCCCAGCAGCCGCTCCCAGTCGCCAGTCTAGCTGCCACATTCTGGATTAGTTGCAGTTTCTGCATCACCTTCAAAGGTGATGCAGAAACCACATACAGCGCATTGCAGTAGTCCAAGCGGGAGATAACCAGCTGCTAGCTCCCTACACCCTGTGCACTATATTCTTTTCTGGTGTGTTTTTCTTTAAAAAAAAATTATTAAATTTTCTGTTTTACAATTTCAGATACTCATTTTACATCCTTAAGATATCAATGACTTCCCTTCTTCTCTTTCCATGGTTCATTTGACATATCTTATATCCCTGCATATTTTACAAAAACCATACCAATCAGTTTTCCATTATTGCATCCATCAAAACTTATTTATACTGTTGACTTTATCTCAATGCTGCCAGTGTTTTCAGCTGAACACGAATATTTTCCATATATTCAATAAGTGTTTTCCAATCTTCTTTAAACGTATGTTCTTGTTCTCTTCTTCTATATGTTAAGTCTGCAAGTTGCACATATTCTGTCAGCTTAAGTTGCCACTCTTTTTTAGTTGGGACCTCACTCGTTTTCCATCCTGCATACTGTATTCATTTCTTCTGCAAGGTCCTGAACTGTTCTGAAGAAAGATGTTTTGTAAGGGCTTTCTTAAAACAAAACAAACTTAAGAATGTTTGGTAAGTGTGTTACACACATACACCTACAGTGGTACCTCGGGTTAAGTACTTAATTCATTCCGGAGGTCCGTACTTAACCTGAAACTGTTCTTAACCTGAAGCACCACTTTAGCTAATGGGGCCTCCTGCTGCTGCTGTGCCGCCGGAGCACAATTTCTGTTCTCATCCTGAAGCAAAGTTCTTAACCTGAAGCACTATTTCTGAGTTAGCGGAGTCTGTAACCTGAAGCGTATGTAACCTGAAGCATATGTAACCTGAAGCGTATGTAACCCGAGGTACCACTGTATAGGCATTGTAGGAAACTGTCTTATACTGAGGGGAAGCTTTCCTCAGAGTTATTTAACAGTCAATTTCTCTTCCCAGGAAATACTGAAAATTGTAGCTCAGGGAGGGTAACAGGAATCTCCCAGTCGTTTATAAACAAGCCAGTGTCATTTCCCTGCAGCCTGCCTGTCTGTTCCAGAAGAAAACAAGTGTCACTTGGTAGTTTTCATGCAAACATGTGTACGTCTGAGTGAAGATCAAAGGCTTTCTTTTCGCACTCCATTCTCATTGTTCTCTGATATGCCTTTTGTAGTACAATTTCAAACTAATCTGCCGTCCATGTAAATCTTTTTTTAAAAAAAATCTAAACAGTCCAGGAAATTCCAGGTTGACAAGGAAACAGTAACATAAACAGTTATTTTTAAGGCTCTGGGTTTTCTAGACCGGATCAAACCAGTGAGCCACCCAGACCTTACGTCCTGCCTGCAAGGACTTTGCAAGGTGGCTTGCCGGTTGCAAAACACAACAGCTTGTGGGAAATTATTCTTTTTGTGGTCACAGCAGGAAGCCAGTTGATGCATTCAAGCTTCAGATCAGGCCTGCACCTAACAGGACACAATCCCTCAGAAGCCATACAGTGTCCAGTAGTAATATGTTAGCCTCAAATTAGATTGCATCCTTAGGAGTGAACCAATCTCTTCTTTCCGAAGGAGGATGGTTCCCACTCTGTAGACTTTCCAAAGAATAATGAGAGAGTCTCTTTTCTCAGAAGAAGTTTAAGGGAATTTGTCTTGAGGAGGGATGCAGGAGAACTTCTGATGAAAACAGAAACAAGCGTGGAAATTGCCAATGTTCACTCATTCATCTCATGTCCAGATTAGAAATTGATCCCGCAAACACTATTGATATTTGCTATGGTTATTGTTTTCTTTTTCTTTATCAATTTTAAATATATACAGTGGTACCTCAGGTTAAGTACTTAATTCGTTCCGGAGGTCTGTTCTTAACCTGAAACTGTTCTTAACCTGAAGCACCTCCTGCGCTGCTGCTGCTGCTGCTGCTCCGCCAGAGCCCGATTTCTGTTCTTATCCTGAAGCAAAGTTCTTAACCTGAAGCACTATTTCTGGGTTAGCGGAGTGTGTAACCTGAAGCGTATGTAACCCGAGGTACCACTGTATATATTTTTAATAAATTTTACATTACAAATTTTAAATTATCACCACCCCCTGCTTACAGAGAAAGGTTGTTCCGGCTGTAGATCAAGGGCTCTCAGACCTTTTATGCCCAGCTTGAAAGGGCTGGAAATCACTAAGGCCCACCTGTCACAGAAGGTTGGGAAAAGAGCAAAACCTGTCATGAACTAGTAGTGGACAGAGGTAGGGTCTGGCATAATCAGCTGGCATTTGCTACCTTTGCTGAACCCCTTGACTGGGTTTCTGTAGCTGTACACTTTAGGTTTCAAATGTTGTACATTATGAAGGACAGTCCCCTTTTCTTGGTCCCTTGTAAATCGCCGCTCCCATTTTTGCCTTGTTTAAATTTGGTTTTAGCATGTGAGATGCTAGCATGTATTTATTTGATTCCATCTCTGAATCATTCCCCATTGAATACCTCAAAGCAAAACTGGCACTGCATAATACCCGTTCCACATTTGTAAGAACCCGATCGTTTACTGTGGGAGCAGCTACACTTTGGAACTCCCTGCCTTATGATATCAAGCAGGCACCTTCAAGGTACTCTTCACATTGGAGAGCCAGTGTGGTGTAGTGGTTAAGAGCGGTAGTCTCGTAATCTGGTGAACCGGGTTCGCGTCTCCGCTCCTCCACATGCAGCAGCTGGGTGACCTTGGTCCAGTCACACTTCTCTGAAGTCTCTCAGCCCCACTCACCTCACAGAGTGTTTGTTGTGGGGGAGGAAGGGAAAGGAGAATGTTAGCTGCTTTGAGACTCCTTAGGGTAGTGATAAAGCGGGATATCAAATCCAAACTCTTCTTCTCTTTTTCTTTTCAGCACCTTCTAAAACCATTTTTTGTTTAGGCAAGCCTACCCAGATGTTTTAGAAAATTGATGCAATTTTAAATCTGTTCTTAGCCTATTCTTATTTTAATTTTTTGAAAGACTTATATTATCGTTGTTGGTCATTTTATTGTTTCATTTTTTAAAACCACTTATAGGTTTGTTTGTTTTTTACAATCATGTGGTGTCTAAAATTGCACAGAATAAATAACCATGAAAACATCAACAATACACACAATTCCATATATGTACAAACAAACAAACAAACAAACCAATTCCATCTATACAGTGGTACCTCAGGTAACATACGCTTCAGGTTACATACGCTTCAGGTTACAGACTCCGCTAACCCAGAAATAGTGCTTCAGGTTAAGAACTTTGCTTCAGGATGAGAACAGAAATCATGTGGTAGTGGTGTGGCGGCAGCAGGAGGCCCCATTAGCTAAAGTGGTGCTTCAGCTAATGAACAGTTTCAAGTTAAGAACGGACCTCCGGAACGAATTAAGTACTTAACCCGAGGTACCACTGTAAAAATAATTAAAAACAAGGAACGTCTGCAATAGCCACCCAAAAGGCAATCATTGTGGATTTAAAAACAGAGAAATGCCTCCATCACTTTTAATAATCAACAACTTTCATTAAAAAGGGAACATGCTTTTATTCTTCATTTTACACAGTGATGTTCTATGTAAAAAGGGCACTTCTCAAATACAGTTTGTGATGCTAACTATAGTCAGAGCCACTGACAACTTTTTGCAACTGAGAAGGAATTTTGGCCCAAAAAAAATATTCATCCATTAAAAGGGGACATCCTGTATACCTACGTCTGCTTCTTACGGGACCAGGGGTATCTTTGGAAGCGTCCATGAAGCAAGAAAATAACTCGGCAGAGAACATTGTGTTCGGATGTACGCTGGGGCTGTCATGTTTTGACTAAGATGGATCCCTCCGTGAGTCATTTTTAGCCCCACAGTCCTGTTCTTTATCTGGAGTTCATCACTCCCTTGCGATTCATGCAATATCAAAAGAAGGTGGAAGGCATATCAACCCGGCAAATGGCAAAAGTCCCCAAAAGAAGAGATTTACACACACACAAAATGCAGTCTTTCCACCCCAACAGAAAATACCAATTGATTTTCTTTTTAGGAAAGATAATTCATTTCATTCAGTTAAGAAGTGTCATGGGTGGCATTACTCAATGTCCTACTTTGTGAACTAATTGACTCTGTGGGTACTTTTTTATTTATCTAATCTATCTATCTATTTATTGCAAGATGTAGATGAAAAGGCTGGTCCCTTCTCTGCAGGAAAACCATAGAAAGGAGTCACTGTGAAAAGGAATGAATTATGGAAACCCAGCCAGATGGGCAGGATAGAAATAATAAATTGTTGTTGTTGTTGTTGTTGTTGTTGTTGTTGTTGTTAGGTGTGGAACAGTGGTGGGATGCAATGAGAATGGTACAGTGTATACACTGCAGAAACATCTCTCCTTTTGGGTGTGTTCTTTTAAAAAAACAGTCTGTAGACAGCACTGATTGGCTTGTGTCCATGCCATGCTCAATACAGCAGACTGATGTGGAAATGTGGAGAAGTGAATTTAAGATTAGAAACATGAGAAAATGAGGACAACCAAAATGGACAGATTTACCCATGAATACAGGTTCCCTGTTATGTATTTTGGTAAGGACTTAGTTTGTTGGTTCTTTATGTGCTTGGATGCCTCTCAAGATATCATCACCAAACTTAGCATAAGGATTCTTGAGGAGGATGGCAGTTTTTGTTGATGATGAGATACCATCTCCCATGACTTTTGCCTGATTGCAA